GAGACTGGGAAGCGGGTTGCGAATCCCAGTACGAGGCTGGGAAGYRGGATCCCAGTACGAGACTGGGAAGCGGGTTGCAGATCCTGGCACAAGGCTGGGAAGCGGGTTGCAGATCCCAGCAGGAGGCTGGGAAGCGGATTGTAGATCCCAGTACGAGGCTGGGAAGCAGGATCCCAGTATGAGGCTGGGAAGCGGGTTGCGGATCCCAATACGAGGCTGGGAAGTGGATTGCGGATCCCAGCACCTGGTTGGGAAGCGTGTTGTGGATCCCAGCACGGGGCTGGGGACGTGGCTTGTGGATCCCCATCTCTGGCCCTAGGGATGTGGATCCTGCTGCTGGGGGTTGTGGATCCTGCTCTCTGGGACTGGGAAATGGAGGCAGGATCCAGGACCGGGATGTGAATCTCTGTCCCTGTCCCTGCGCAAAGCCCTGGATGTGGCTCCAGGGACCACGTGCGGTGTCCCCAGGCCATGTCCTGGGATGGGGGACACTGCTCCGGAGCTGCTCTGTCCCTGTCCCTGTGCAAAGCCCTGGATGCAGCTCCAGGGACCGCGTCCAGTGTCCCCAGGCCACCCCCGTGTCCCTGCCCGTGTCCCGCGTCACCCCCAAGGCTGCCCCATGTGGGGACATCCCCGGTGTCCCCGTGCGGCCGCAGCAGAGCTCGTTGCGGGCGGCGCGAGGCTTTTATTGGGGATGAAGCAGCTCGGAACAGCCGGGTCCGGGCAAGCTGCGAGGTCCCCTTGGCACCGCGGTGGGGACGCGGTGGCACCGGCCACCTCCTGGGCACTCGGGTGGTGGGGACAGGTCCCTGCAGTGCCAGGTGCCCTGGTGAGGGGACAGGGGGACACCCGGAGCGATGGTGGCAGGTCCCTGCAGAGCCAAGTGTCCTCGGTGGTGGTGGCAGCTCTCCTGGGCACCCTGGATGACCAGGGCAGTGGTGGCAGGTCCCTGGGGGACACTGGACACCTGGGACAAGGGTGGCCGGTCCCTGCAGAGTCAAGTGTCCAGGATGATGGAGGCAGATCCCTGAGGCACCCTGGGCATTGGTGGCTGGTCCTTGGGGGACACCCAGGGTGCAGGTGGCCGGTCCCTGGGGTCACTTATGGCATGGGTGGCAGGTCGCTGGGTGCGGGTGGCCAGTCCTTGGGGGACACCCCAGGCATGGGTGGCAGGTCCTTGGGGCACCAGGGACAACCAGGGCCCTGGTGGCCTGTCCTTGGGGGACACCCCGGGCTTGGGTGGCCTGTCCTTGGGGGACACCCTGGGCTCAGGTGGCTGGTCCCTGGGGACACCCCGGACACGGGTCGCAGGTCCTTGGGGGACACCCCGGGCGTGGGTGGCCGGTCCCTGGGGACACCCTGGGTGCGGGTCGCAGGTCCTTGGGGGACACCCCAGGTGCGGGTGGCCGGTCCCCGGGGACACCCCGGGCTCAGGTGGCCAGTCCCCGGGGACACCCCGGGCTCAGGTGGCTGGTCCCTGGGGACACCCTGGGCGCGGGTCGCAGGTCCTTGGGGGACACCCCGGGCTTGGGTGGCCGGTCCCCGGGGACACCCCGGGCTTGGGTGGCCTGTCCTTGGGGGACACCCTGGGCTCAGGTGGCTGGTCCCTGGGGACACCCCAGGCACGGGTCGCAGGTCCTTGGGGGACACCCCGGGCTTGGGTGGCCTGTCCTTGGGGGACACCCCGGGCTCAGGTGGCTGGTCCCTGGGGACACCCCGGGCGCGGGTCGCAGGTCCTTGGGGGACACCCCGGGCGCGGGTGGCCGGTCCCTGGAGACACCCTGGGCGCGGGTCGCAGGTCCTTGGGAGACACCCTGGGCTCGGGTGGCTGGTCCCTGGGGACACCCCGGACACGGGTGGCCGGTCCCCGGGGACACCCCGGGCGCGGGTGGCCGGTCCCCGGGGACACCCCGGGCGCGGGTCGCAGGTCCTTGGGGGACACCCCGGGTGCGGGTGGCTGGTCCCTGGAGACACCCTGGGCGCGGGTCAGCAGGTCCTTGGGGGACACCCCGGGCTCAGGTGGCCGGTCCCTGGGGACACCCTGGGCGCGGGTGGCTGGTCCCTGGGGACACCCTGGGAGCGGGTGGCCGGTCCCCGCGGTGCCCGGGCAGCGGGCGGCGGGCAGCGGCAGCGGCGCGGGCGCAGGGGCGGCTGGCAGCACCGCCCGCCTTACAGCAGCACGCAGGGCTTCTTGGGCTTGGCCGGCGCCGGGTTGAGCACGGCCCTCACGGCCTCCGTGAAGACCTCCTTGATGCCCTCCTGGTGCAGCGCCGAGCACTCGAGGTACTTGACGGCGCGGATCTGCTTGGCCAGGCTGGCGCCCTGCTGCGCCGTGATGGGCGCCTGGTTCTGCTCCTTGAGCTTCTTCATGGTCTCCGCGTTGCCCCGCAGATCCTTCTTGGTGCCCACGAGCAGCACGGGCACGCTGGGGCAGTGGTGGCACACCTCGGGGTACCACTTGTGCTTGACGTTCTCGTAGGAGGGCGGGCTGGCGATGGAGAAGCAGATGATGAAGACGTTGGTCTGGGGGTAGGAAAGCGTCCGCAGGCGGTCGTACTCCTCCTGGCCGGCCGTGTCCCACAGGTTGAGGTTAATAGTCCTGCCGTCCACGGTGTTCTGGGCGCTGTAGTTGTCGAACACGGTGGGGATGTACTCCTTGGGGAAGGCGTTGGTGGTGTAGCAGATGAGCAGGCAGGTCTTGCCCACGGCGCCGTCGCCCACCACCACGCACTTGATGCTCTGCATGGCCCTTGGCGCCGCGTCGCCCTCAGCAGCCTGCGGGGACGGAGGCGGTCAGGAGCGGCGCGGGGACGCGGGGGCACCGGGACGCGGGGGCACCGGGACACGGGGGCACCGGGACACGGTGGCACCAGGTCATGGGGGCACCGGGACATGTGCAACTGGGACACGGTGGAACGGGGACGCGGTGGCACCAGGACATGGGGATACCAGGATATGGGGGCACTGGGACACAGTGGCACCGGGATATGGTGGCATGGGGACACGGTGGCACCAGGACATAGGGACATGGTGGCACCAGGACATGGTGGCACCAGGAAACATGGATATGGTGGCACTGGGAAACAGGGACACAGTGGCATTGGGACACAGGGACATGGYGGCACAGGGACATGGTGGCACCAGSACATGTTGGCACCAGGACCCAGGGATATGGCAGCACCAGGAAATAGGGACAGGGCGGCACAGGGACATGGTGGCACCAGGACATGGTGGCACCAGGAAACATGGTTGGCACCAGGAAGCAGGGACATGGTGGCACTGGAACACGGGGACAGGGTGGCACCAGGACATGGTGGCACCAGGAAACATGGATATGGTGGCACTGGGAAACAGGGACACAGTGGCATTGGGACACAGGGACATGGCGGCACAGGGACACGGTGGCACCAGGACATGGTGGCACCAGGACTCAGGGATATGGCAGCACCAGGACACCAGGACATGGTGGCACCAGGAAACATGGATATGGTGGCACTGGGAAACAGGGACACAGTGGCATTGGGACACAGGGACATGGCGGCACAGGGACATGGTGGCACCAGGACATGGTGGCACCAGGAAACATGGTTGGCACCAGGAAGCAGGGACATGGTGGCACTGGAACACGGGGACAGGGTGGCACCAGGACATGGTGGCACCAGGAAACATGGATATGGTGGCACTGGGAAACAGGGACACAGTGGCATTGGGACACAGGGACATGGCGGCACAGGGACACGGTGGCACCAGGACATGGGGGCACCAGGACATAGGGACATGGTGGCACCAGGAAACAGGGACATGGTGGCACCAGGACACAGAGATATGGCAGCACCAGGAAGTATGGATATGGTGGCACTGGGACACAGGGACACGATGGCACTGGGACACATGGATATGGCAGCACCGGGACACAGCAGCACTGGGACACAGGAGCACAGGGACACGGTGGCACTGGGAAACATGGATGTGGTGGCACCGGGACACAGTGGCACAGGGACAGGGCAGCACTGGGAAGCATGGATGTGGTAGCACTGGGACATGGCGCCACCAGGAAACATGGACGTGGTGGCACCAGGACATAGGGACACGGCAGCACCAGGAAATATGGATACGGTGGCACCAGGACACAGGGACATGGTGGCACCAGGAAATATGGATATGGTGGCACTGGGAAACATGGACACGGTGACACCAGGACACAGGGATAGGGTGGGACCGGGAAACATGGACATGGCAGCACCGGGACACGGTGGGACCAGGATGGACGGACAGTGTGGGGCCGGGACGCAGGGACCCACAGCACTGGGACACATGGATGCGGTGGCACCGGGATACATGGACACTGCAGCACCGGGACACATGGATGCGGTGGCATCGGGATACACGGACACTGCAGCACCGGGACACATGGATGCGGTGGCACCGGGATACACGGACACTGCAGCACCGGGACACATGGATGCGGTGGCACCCGGATACACAGACACTGCAGCACCGGGACACATGGATGCGGTGGCACCGGGATACACAGACACTGCAGCACCGGGACACATGGATGCGGTGGCATCGGGATACACGGACACTGCAGCACTGGGATGCACAGCCATGGCAGCCCCAGGGTGGACGGCCACGGTGGGGCCGGGACGCACGGACACCGCGGCCCCACGGAGCTCCCCGGTCACCGGGATGGGGGCACACGGCAGCACCCCTGGCGTGGGGGTCCCCGCAGCAGCAGCAGGCCTCGGTGTGGGGTGTTGCGCTCCGGGGGCGCATCCCGGCGGAACCGGCCCCATGGACACCCTGGAGCTGGGGATGCAGCGAGCGGCGCAGGGCTCAGCGGGAAGGGGCTCGCACCGGCTCCGCTCACACCCCAGTCCCACGCAGGGGCCTTGGGGACACCAGGGCGCAGGGGACATCCCAGCACCCGGCCCCGGGAGGCGTCCGGCTCCGGAGCCATGTGGAAACGCGGCTGGGAACGGGAAGCACCCGGTGAGTCAGGGCTGAGGGACCTGGGGCCGCCTTGTGCCACTTACGGCACCGGTGTCGCGCCGGGGACCTCGCTGGCCCGGCCACCCCCGCACCCACGGGGCCCCTTCCCGGGAACGCCGCTCGCGGGCGGGCCCTGCCGCGGGATTTGCATCCCCGTGTCCGGCTGAGGCGCCTCTTGCACCTCCTCGCTGCACGTTGCGCTGCGCCTCGCGCTGCAGCTGCAGGGCAGGGCCCCGGGGCTCCCCGCAGCACCGCCCTGCTGTTCCC